AACAAAACAAAAACAACAGCAAAAAAAAACAAAAACAAAAACAAAAAAAAAACCCAAACCAAACCAAAAAGCAACTCTATCAAGTCTAATATGGGCTGCTCATATATTCTTAGATGTCTGTTTGGCCTTATATGGAACATGGTTGACTTACCAGGGGCTACAAAGAAAACTGACTGCTTCTCTCCCAGAAACTATCAGTTGCCAATAGCTCCTTAGCTGGGTCTACTTTATGTTATTTTTTGTTTTCTGAGGCAGGGTTTTATACTATGTAGCCTTGAGTGACCTTGAAGACATAGAGACCACCTGTTTCTGGCCCCCTTCCAAATGTTAGGACTAAAGGTATGTGCCATCACTCCTGGCCCAACTTTACTATTTCTTGGAGAGAGGGAGCCTCTCACTACACTGGGTTAGACTGGCCAGTGAGCTTCAGGGATCAAGCTGTCTTGGCTTCTTCAGCACTGGGATTATGGACACATGTGGTTCTTTACATGGGTGCTGGGGATTCGAACTCTAGTCCCCATGCTTGAAGGGCAGGCAGTTTACCAACTGAGCCATATCCTTTTGTAGTTTTAAACTTTTATTTTATACCAACAAATTTGGTCGAATTTATCGTTTACTGCTTAATGATTTAAATGGACTTGTTTTGGTATATAATAGAGAAATGGAACTTATGCCATGTATCAACATCAAGCATGAAATATGCTACAGATCAAAATGAATGAGGAGACACGCAGGGGGATGGACTTAGCCCTGTGTGGACCACATTCTCCCCACTGTCTGTGGACTCAGTGCATCCTCATCAGCACCCCAGTGCGAGGGCTTAAGGCAGAAATTCAGATGCCTTTAAAGTTTATGTCAACGGAATCTGAAAGAGCCTAAATAGTTTGAACAAGCAAGAGGACTCAACAGTTATAAAGATGGTGTCCTCCTGGCTTAAGGACAGACACATAGATCAACAGAACAAAGTGTGCGCTCAGAAAGAGGCCCATATGCATATGGCCCATTAATTTTTGACAAAGGAGCCAAGGTAATTAAATGGGAAAAGGACAGTTCTGTCAAGAAATGAAGATGGAACAACTGAGAAGATGAATCACTAACTCTTAAAATGAACACGAAATAGATTATAGACCTAAATGTTGAGAGCAGGCCTGAATGTTCCAGAAGAAACATGATATCCTTGTTGGAATCAGCCGAAGTTTTAGAATCAGCACAAAAGGCACATGCTATCGGTGACTGACCTAGTAAAACTCATAAAAATGTTCTATTCTTTGGAAAGACATGGAAGGAATTGGGATGAAGATATTTTCAATGCCCCTGTCTGATAAAGAACTTGTTTCCATTTATGCAAACAATTAATTCTCACAACTAAATGACAATAAATAACACACCCGAAATTTCGGCAAAAGGGCAGGATGTGGTAGCGCATGACTATTGCCCAGAACTTAAGAGGCAAAGGCAGGAGTAAGAGGATAGCAAGTTCAAAGCCAGCCTGGTCAAGCCAGGCAAGGATACATAGTCTGTGTCAAAAATCCCCAAAAACGACACACAGATTCCAATAACAGATGAAAAATGATGTCATTAGTAATCAGACAAATGCAAATTACATATACAAACACAAAGCTGGGCAGTGACCCAGCCATAATCCCAGCACTCAGGAGGCTGAAGCAGGAGATACTGGACCACAGAGTGGGGCTGTCTCAGAGACACAAAGACAACAAAGAAAGTACAGATAAAATTATGCACCCAATAGAATTGCTAAAATAACCAACTGTATTTGAAACAAACTGGGTAAGAAGTCACAGCACTGGTAGGAACATTAAGCATGAACTGCTTTAAATATGAAGCGGATATTGCTGCTGTTCCCATGTTTGAAGATAAAACAAAAGACCTCTCTTCCACAGCAATAATTTCAAAGATTAGGGTGCAATACACACTTACTGAAGTTAATTAAATGGTGTGAAGGGTCACAGTGGTAAACACATAATTCATACTGCTGAGCCCCCTTCAACTGTCCATACCTAACTAAAGTGCCAAGGCAGTGGCTGTCACTGCCGGCTAGATAAGAGTCATTAGTCAGTGTCAGGCAGATATAAATAACCGATGCTGCTAGGAGTGTGTACGGCAAGCTCTTGCTGTACATAGAGAAAAAGCTTGAGCAAGCTTGTGTAAACAACCTTGAGCAAGCTCACTGTGTGTAAACAACCTGAGCAAGCTCACTGTATGTGTGAATATGAAGCAAGTGCACTGTGTGTGTAAACAGCCTGATCACAATCATATTTTCAAATATAAACATGAAACAGATCAGGATTTTTTAATACAAAATTTTTGTGCAAGCCGTGTAAAAAAGCACGTATTATTTTCAGATGCAAAAAAAACCATACATTAATAGGAAGTCTTCTGCAACTAAACCCTCCATCCTGGAGACAGGCCCCCCATCAAGCTGGAGCGCCCCCAAATTCTGAAGTAGGCCATTTCTTTATAATTATTTTTAGAACTAGTTGCTGTGGGATGGTCTGTTTGTCAAATTACTCTGATTGGCCAATAAATAAGCTATAAGAAGAGTTAGCAAGAAGCCTGCCATGGCCATACAGTTTGTATGCAATA